TATTAGAGAATATAGTAATCTTACTAATAAGAATAAAATCAAATGCTGAAAAATTTTCCATTGCTATATAAATAATAATATTTTTGAATATTTTTGATATACGGAGTATTTTATTTTAATATTTATAAGATATTCTATGTATATTATGTATACTTTCTTTATACAGAGTATCCTATTTTAAACAATCTTTAAAAAACTTTTTATTTTTATATCTAGAAAAAAACGTGTCAAACAAAAGTAATATTTTAGAAAGAACATAATTATGATTGTGATTTTGATTCATTTATAGATTGCTATTAATATTTTTTATTAGCGTCATTTATTGGCGTCAAGAATATTGCAAAAAATAAGGATCTCTCTCTGGATACTTCCAAAAAAGTACAATTTCTAAATCGACTAATGTATCTGGTTAAATCTGGATATTCAATTTTTGAATATTATACATATTATATGTTTATCTCATGATTACATATAATTCAATCTCCCAGCAAACAGAAATGGAATGAAATGGATTCGTGATGACGATTGCCGAATCCAAATTCTTGATTTTTTTGAATCCATTTTAATCCACGAAGTGGGATTGAAACTATTCTTATTCTTTCAATCTAAAATATATATTAAAATGGATATATTAGAAATGTTTAATTTATTTTAATCTCTTTCCGGATGCTTGGGCTTGAACATGAGGCAAAAAACCTCGATAAAATAAATCAAGTACAAGGTAAATTAGGTAACATCATATTTGCACTCACGCTATATGTGAGTACAATCCATTTTGCGTAAAATCTACTATGATATTTGCTTTTATGGAAGTGTTTCCTCGTTTCCGACCTTGATGTTGCGGCGAATCATAATGTAGAGAAATCGTGTACAGATGCATTGCGTATACGCGCCTGATTCACATCGAAAGGAGCGAAAGGGGGAGGGGGGCATGTGTCATCTTGCATAACAGTCTGTTCCGTCCTGTAGTAACATTGCGTCGCGTTGATGCAACGCTCAAAAATACCTACGTATAGCTTTAGCGGCGATTCCGCACGTACGTTAACGTATCACATCGTATGTACGCCAATAAATTTACATGGGAGTCACGTCGAGTGAACTCGCGGAACTCAAGGTAATATTTTCGGCGTCGACACAAGCACATTTATTCTCAAGATTTTGAAACAATACCTCCAAAACAAATAGGTGGAATTAATTCAGTCGCATAAATTGCTGGTGAAAAATCGAGATGACTTGTGCTCTAGTCATACATATTTATGATTTGAAATATATTTTTAAAAAAAACTCAAGAAAATATATATAAAAGGAAGATTAAGAATAATAACTCTTATTAAAAATTTCTGTTTACTTTAAAACAATGGTAGTTCCACTTCTGGATAACTTCGATAATAATTAACAAAGGATTATATTTCGAAAGTAAGAAAAGTATAACATGTATAAATTAAATTATACAGTCATAAATTTTCATAACTTTCACTTATTTAAATTCATAAATACATTTTAATGTAAATAAGATTAATTATCATTTATCTTATAAGTCTTGTCTTTATAAGTCTTACTTTTATCATAAAATGTAAACTATATAATGCTTAAAAATAAACTTGCTTTAGTTTGCATTAATGTTTTGATACTCATTAAGAGATGTTTTATCAATGTTCTTAGAATATATTTCGATCTCATTAATAGTAATTGCAAATCATCATCGGATTATACGTATTTGAGCAGTGATTAAAAAATCCATTATGTAATTGTTAAATTTCAAAAGCGGTAAAGCTACTGAAGGGCTGCCTATTTCTACAGCAAAATTACATCATTGAACTGAAAATTCACGGCGCGATATTCAGCAGAGTATGATAATTCGCATCTCTGGCTCATTTAATCATCTGTATAAATTTGACGTAACATGGACGACATCTTTCATGTTCTCATCTCTCTGGCCACATGTAAATACGCTTTGAACTAACTGGTGGGAGGATCGACACCTCCCAAAGCATCATCGCCGTTGTTGTCGGCGGCGGCGGTGGCGTTGTATCGCGCATCTCAGTCAAATTGCGATCGTCGTGGCGTGATCACAACGACGTCACAGTTGGTATATGGAACGCAATCTAGGCGCGCGCGGTGCGACCTACGTACGAAAATAGATCTCAGCGAGAAGTAAGCAAAGACTGACGACTTGTTCTGATTACGCGCCTTACGATGTCATTTTTTTGTGAGTATTTTAATTTTTATTTTTTTTTTTTCATAAATTCATATACGAAAAGATATACAACAAACAAATTAAATTTCAATTCACAATAAACAGATAAGACTAGTATTTATATAAAATTATTTACATACATCTGTATTTTTTTATATTATATTTTTTAATTGTTTAATTTACATATACTAAATAAGTGAAAATTATTGTAAATTAAAATAAAATATTACGCTCATATGTTTTTCATATTAGTATCTCATTTTAGTATCTCTGAAGCGCAGAAAAATAATGAAATATCTTGTATATACATTTGTAAGTTATATATTAGTTTATATATTAGAAGAAATTGAATTTTTTAGAAAAAAACACACTGACAATGCAATTATTAATAAGATATATAAAAATTGACATTTTATCATTTTCTTCAAAGATGCAAACTGTTTCATGGTAGCCTTGTTATATTTTGGTACCACTATATTTAGCACCACTATATATTAAAAAAATATGGATTTAATATGGATAAAATATATATATATATATATATATATATATTGATGAGATGAAATTAAAGTTAATCATTCTTATAGTTAATTTTATACAAAAGTGTAAAATCATGCAACAACAATCAAAATAAATAATTTAGAATAAATAAATATTATCTTATTATTAATAAACAATTACACACATGCAAACAAAAACACGCAACACGTACGGGCGCGTGTATTATGCAGTGCATGCACTATCGAAATGGACATTATGCAGTCCGCTAAATTTTATTTATGTTTGAAAATGGTCCTCAGTTTTAAAAAAGGTTACGTATCGAAAAGCTAAAACAAGAAATAAAGATTTTTACAAAGATAAACAATATTTTTTCCGAAAATACAAATTATTTTATTAATTTCGCTGTACTGATATTGTTATCTACCATTAAATATATACTGAAAAATAAACTTGCGAAGACAGGACTTTTGAAATATTCTAAAATTTTATTTGTTCTTCTTATATAATTAATCTTTTTATATAATTTTATATAATTCATATTTTATTAATAATTTTAGTAATTTAGTAATTATCGTTTTTATATTAAAGTTAGAAAAGAAACATACAAATGTTTTCATTAAAATTCTGAATCTTTTATAAATATGAATGAAATGACAAAGCTCGTAAAAATGACAAAGCTCGTAAAATGTATAACTTGCATTGTTGTTACATTTTACGAGTTTTGTCATTTCAGAATTTTAATAAAAATGCAATGTAATTGCATTATAAATGCAAGTATTTATTCTTTATGCTCGTTTTTGGCCTTATCTCTCTCAAGTTGTTTTATAAATATGTATTGCTGAATTTTTTCTATATAATTAGTTATATTTCGTTTAATTCCTAGAAACAGAATTAAACAACTACTCAGTGCGTAGCATTGGATTGAAGAAAGAAGGAAGAAAAGAAAGGATTTTCAGTAATACTGGCGTCATATCAAGAACATTATCGTCTTGAATGATGATGAAGCGATTAATGTTACTGGCTTTTTTAGCCGTAGTATTATGTTATGAACCGTTCCAAGTGATATTTGAATGGAAAACAATTGACTTTCAATGGCCATCAAATAAAGAACGACAAAATGCTCTAACAAATGGGGACTATATACAGGCGAACAACTTTATTGTCACTGTGAAATTCTGGAAGGAGAAAATGTATCTTACAATACCACGATGGAAAGACGGCGTACCAGTGACGTTGGGCGTTACTTGGGCGAAACCAGTTAACGGCGTGACGGAACCTAAACTAGAAGCCTTCCCCAATTGGAGTATGCAGAAGCTGGGTGACTGCGCGGCATTCCAATTAGTCCACAGCATAGAGATTGATCCTAAGGGTCGCATGTGGATACTTGACACTGGCCGGTCTATGTCCCTTAGGGAACCTAAAGTCGATTGTTCGCCGCGTCTCGTTATTCTGGACCTTGAAGATAACAATAAAATTCTTCGTACTTATGAATTTCCTGATCACGTAGCTCGTCGTACAAGCGCGTATCTTAATGACATTGTTCTTGATCACGAAGACGGCGGTATGGCATATATCACTGACAATGGTGCTATCGATCCTGGCATTATTGTTTACTCTTTAAAGAATAATAACTCCTGGAAGATTCGGCACAAGTCCATGAGAGCGCAAGCAGAGGCAGTTGGGTTTATGGTAGCAAACACACATGTAATCAATCCAGTACATGTAGATGGCATAGCACTCTCACCAGCAAGCAGTCGTGACAGGTACTTCAAATTAATATTTTTTTAATATCTAATTCTATCCACAACATATATTTGAAGATTTTTTTGTGACGTTATCTTTATTAAACATTTTCTTTATTATGAAATTTTCTCTTAATTTAATAACATGTACACAAAATGAAAATAAAATTGCGCGGACTGTTTTTCATTCATGATCAATTTGCAATAAGTAGCAGGAGAGGAATGAAGGAACAAAATTTCACTTACTAGATAAAAAACAAATTGTCGTAACATGTTCATAAAATAGAAGACATTAAAATATTAAATTTTATAAAAGAATAATTGATTGTATCCAAATCAATCACTTATATAAAATATATTTTATCTTTTTCTCTGTTCTCAATTTTACTTATTCACTTCCTTCATTGTTTTCTCTTTTATTAAAATTA